AATAAAAGATGCACTTATCTACAGTCGAATATTATTACGGTTCTACGATTACGTCACGCGGCACGAGTATTGCAGAAAATCGGGTTCGACGAACCCGCCGGTTCCGTGTGATATTTAGATACAGAGCGTGTCGTACGGGTCAGGTTAGGTTCGGTACTCGGGAAAAATCGGTATCGCGCATCTCGTTATCATACCGTCGTTTTAATGTAATATTTGAAATCGCAGATGTATCCGGAGGTGTATTTACGGACGGCGCGCCTTTTTAACGCAAGCGTAAACCATGCATATTCCATGTTATCGCCTTTCAATACTGGTTAACAATGCGATAAACGTTTTCCGTTGTTTTACCAGAACTGAAAAGTGTTGACCGGTGAAATTATATTGTACGCACGTATCATAAAAACGTTCAGTGTAATACTTAACGTATTGCGGGCGAGTACTGAGTAATTTTAATAATATCGCGAGAATATATGACGGTTCGATAAATTACTTTGAAAAAAAATAAATAGCGTTTATTTGCCAATATTCGATATTTATTGTGGGGACACCGAAAAATATACCCCGTGGGCGGCGTCAAATAACTGAATATGCCCATGGGTAAGTCACTGTAGTTCTACGGGGGTATAGGATACAGGGTCGTAATTTAGTTTTTCAATATTGTACCTGTATACAGTGTATCTATGCGACAATAAATTATTGGAAGTGAAAAACGACTCAGATTGGATTAGTATTAGTTGCATGTTTTTTCCTGTGGCCATAAAAACATATTATTGGTTGTATGTTCGAAAATTGATTGTTTTCCAATGTTTGCAAACGTGAATTCAAAGAAAATACGACAAGCAATATGGAATACTTTATGGCCCACGCTTTTGTTTGTTTTGTATATTAGACATTATTTGTCTAATATACTCTTGTTTTTAAAACGTGATATTTGATTCGGAGCGAGGTAAAGAATTTTTTCGATTCACTATAATGTGTTTTTATTGTGCCTTTAAAAAACTTTTATACCAAAAATCTAGTTCCAATAAACAAACTTTATAACAACTCTCTTGAAGAATTTCCGCAAATCTAGTTGGTGCATAAAAGAGGTCGTATTTTTTATTTCTCTTATAATTTTCTTAATAAATTGTATTTAAAAACAAAAATGTGTCGTATAATTCGGTCTTGTATATTGGTTTGTGGGTTATTTCGGTAACACGGAAAATGATACGACTGATAATACTTTGCTCTAAATCGTTTTTTGTTAGACATAGTTTATCATTGCGTAGATGGGTTTTAATTAAGGTTACGTTAGAGTGAGTAAATCACTCTGTGCATCCTCTTTTCCGACTTTATGTAACGTCTTTTCTAATTTTCTTTCTAAAACAGTTCCACAGTTGCATTTTGACATAGTGTCAGCCTTTGTAAAATTCGTTTGGTTTAAAGTAAATCACATCAAATGTCCTCATTAAATATTATGATACTTTTCCACAACATTTGCTTGCAAATACATTTCACGGATTTAGCGAGTTTTGACGTTCTTCTTCTTCGGGAATATACATACATAAATACATTTTAATTATACCCCGATATATTTGAAGTTTTCCGACCAATAAATCATTCAGATAAATATTTCTAATATTAATTTGTATTAACCTAATAACAATTTATTTTTTTTTTAGTTACACCAATCGCACGGTCTTATAGAAATCTAAATGCGTAATGTGTACCATGCAGTCCAATACGCTTTTAGAATTCGATCTTTTTTTATCCACATAAAATATCGCTGATTGTTTTTATCTTTATCTAGGGATTAAAATGTATTCCTTATATAACACTAGTCGGCAATTACAATTTTACTTTTCCTACGTACCTACGTATACGATTTGACCTTACAACATAAAAATCCGCACCAAAAGCGAAGTCTAATGGAAGCTTGTACAAATCGCACATAGTTATAATTGAAAAAATACGGAATTTGAACATAATTCGAAGTCACCAATGATGACAGAGAAAAATACTGAAAATTCCCGGTTACTTCTAAATAATATGAATTGTATTATTTAACCGATGCGGAAATGTATCCGTTAGAAACGTAATTTGTCTATTAAATGTCACGGGAGCATTTATAACGGTTCGCATTATAGATGTACGAATGTACGAAAATTCTTTAGAATCACAACGTTTATGCGTTGTTATTTTACGATCAGCATAATCCAGTTCGATGTCCATATTGTAAAAAGCGTAATGTAAGTTTATAATAATTATTTGTGTTAATATATTTTAATTAAACCTTTATTTTTATGGCTTGTCATTCCGATAAACTGCCGCATTATAATTCTTTTGCTACAAATTAAAACCGTCATCGAGGTGAAAGGGGTCAGTTCTTACGACGTAAAGTATATGAACGGGGAGAATACAGTCGTAGCGCATAACCTCAAATATTCCGAATATTGCTTCATCTGGGACCTTCCCGCGAACTCCGTTGGTTCGTCCTACGCGGTCATGTCGGGACTTAATCGAAAAAAAAAACATCGATTTGGTATGCAAATCCACGCCAGACAGGCCAGAGGGTAAAAATGCATTTTCATTTCTACCACAGGGTATTGCTTTTCGGCTATCTCGAGGCCGAAGACCGCCCGAGGTCGGAAAATTATTCGTAAAACATCATATCTATCTCGAGTGTCATTTACATCAAAACTCCGTGCACGTATATAAATTACATACCCAGTTTAGACGGACCAAAATCGTGCACAAAACTAATAGGTATCTATCTCAAAATTATCGGTATAGCCTTACGCGAAATATTATCAAGTTTAGTGTTAGAGAAGGGTACTTGCGACTAGGTGCTTGTTAATATATACGAAGTTTGAGGATTCAAAAGTTGTGCACTAAAATTACTCAACCGAGAGTATAGCGAAATATAATCCGATTAAAAGTAAAAGTACCTATATACACCTATCTTATTATATTTAAAAATTCCACCTTTAAGCTATTACAAAGGCACCAGCAGAAATTCGACTTTACTAATAGGTGTGATATTATAGTTTATAACTAATGAACTTTAGTAAAAAATTATTTTTAAAAGTAACTTTTTTTTTTGAAACAACAAGCCCGAATAATGGTTTATTACTTTTAGTTTTTTCTTTTATATTGGATAGAGAATATAGCTAGGGGAAAGACGCCCGAAAACGAAACTATTTACGTAACTTACCGGTTTTATACGAACAATAAATGCTATTTATAGTAGTTTTCGAATTTGAATTTATTTGTTTTAATATTAATAATTATAGTGACGTTAAACTGATGCGAAAATCAATGAATCGACCTTTTCCTTGTAACTGTTGGCCGAAATTTGTACATGATATAAACATTAAAATACGAAATAAATACGCATATTTGGCGCGTTAAGAACCAACGGCGGTGGGGAGGGGGATGGATATGACCCCAAACCTCACCTTCCCGTTGTGGACGCCAAATAAACACGTCGGATAATGGCCGTACAGTGTATTTATTGTATTCTATTAATATATTTTCTTAAGAACGATGTGTTCGCTCAGCTAACGGGACCGCTAGTATTGTTTTGAAGAACTATTGTACCTATCTGCCGACCCACCTATAGTATTATTATTTTAGACACAATGGGTCGATTTTCGCGTTTGGCGTTCCGACTATCGGCTGTACCGACTGCGGGGCGGTAAGTCAATCAACAATTATCTATACGACCTGCGCTACACTCACCTATCCAACCGAGTTTATTGATTGACTTACAGTCGAAACGTCAAAGCGGAGGCGTCCATTTTGTATACGCACCTATATATTACAAATGTAGTACCACAAACCCGAACGTAAATATTATTATATGTGAATAATGTCGGGCCAGAAGTACGCAGAGCGTACATTTCCACATGCAGCACCGACACACACAGCGAACGGTAACGACAATCAGAATAATTTGATTATACGGGGCGGTCCACTTTTCACGGACCAAAGATTTTCTCGTCATTTTCAGAAGAATATTTTCTGTTTGAACCTGTGTGAAAAAGGAAAGGTTCATATTTTAAATTCGAAATTCTATACTCTTTTAAGGTATAAAGAGTAGAGCTGAACAATTAAAAATAGTTTCAAAATAAAGCTTAAACAATATTAAAATGATTGGACGGAAAAAAAAGAACAGAGATCAAATTCACCTGAAACCCTGCTCGAGAAATGCTGGTTCATGACAGGGTGAATCACTCTGTATATTGTTCACGTTCGTGATAAGATGTAAAAATACAACTGTTTTATTATTATTATTATTATTATTCATTAAGCGTAACCTATTATTTTGCTCTAGGTACGATTATGTTTTTTTTTTTGTCTCGTTAAACAAATAAAGCATTTTTTTTTTTTTTTGATATTGCATATACCGCACGTATAACCACCTGTTTTCTGTCGCTTCCCCTCCTACTTCCGTTATTAAAGCCTCGCATCGTCGTCATCGTGGAGGGTTTAAAAAAGTTTGATTACTATTACTATACGTATACAGCAACAACGAGAACGAACGGAGCACAGGGTTCTCGCAAAAACGGTATTTTCGCGGTCGCTTGGTTTTTTTCTACAAGTTTTAATTATATACCACTAATAAAACACGAAAAGATTTATGACTCCTCTCCGAAAAAAATAAAAAATAAAAAAAATAAAAAATACATTCAAACGGAAAAAACATTGCTGCGCGAGAGATATAATATTCGATCGGCCATGTTTCCTGTTTGTATTTTTTTTTTTTTTAAAGGAAACGATTCCTATAGGAAATCGTAAAAAACCCGAAATAAAAAAAAAACGCACGCCCACCCGCAAACATTAAATCACATACGGGCAGACTGTATGCGTTTTTTTTTTTTTTTGCTTCGTACCTACTCGCTGCAGCACGTCACGTGATAGTAGAGAGGGGGGATATATTTTTCTTCTGTCCTTTTTTTTTTTTTTTTTTTTTTTTTTTTTTTATTTTATTTATTTTTTTATTCGTTTCGAAATCGTTTCGGCGTTTACACGCGTTTCGCGCGTTTGTTTCGACGATCTCCGGGGCGACGACCGACCGTCGGCACCGCGGACACGAGTTCCATTTTCCCTGTGCACACGTATACCACTCGCCGTCGTTGCACAGTCGGCCTACAACACGTCTCGCCAATAACGACCGAATGATAAATCGACTAATATTTTTCCCGGAGGACTTGTTGTCGTCGTACTTGTCACATATAGCGATGCGCCAGCCGGCCGAATATTATTCCGTTCGTGGTTGATTCGCGACGACGACGATGACTTTGCTCGACGAAGAATTTCCGGTCACGATGCGATTATCGCCACACATCGATATAATATAATACATATGTATGTATATTATTTATTCCTAAGTGTATTCCGCGAAGAGTTAACCGTATTTCTTTTTCCGGACAGTCCGTTCAAAATGGATACGACATTCGAATACGTATGTATAACATAAAACCCCGGACCCAATTATTATAATCTCGAGCCGATCGATTTTTTTTCCCGCGTACAATAAAGGATCCCTATAGTAGCGTAGAGTAAATTCGATTTTAGATGTTTTCATTTTATAAACTACTTTACATTGTTGGTTATTTTTCCGTTATCTCGATTACCGATCTGATGCCGCGACCACCGGTGACCGCCGTGACCACATTCCGTTATTTCGGCTATCTAACGCAGCATCGATAAATAAAGTCTACCGTATGTACAGTTTTCATATAATTTTAATATTTCAATTTTATAATTTCATAATTTCACCGGTTTTTGAATTCACGGTGTTTTGGGAGCAAAGATTTTTTTTAAAATAATTCAAGAGCACCGAACTTTCACTGCCGTGTAAATTCCAGAGTTTCGTAGTTTTAACTAATAGCAAATAATAACTAGAATAATAAAGATAATTTTGAATGTCAGTTAACAAAATATCAACTCTGATAACCTAAAAATTAGCTGACACGATTATTAAACGACGGAATATCCGGTAATTAGACGGTAGTCATTATAACTGAAAGGTTATATCATTATAATTAATCACTATACTATAATCGTTTAATCGAAAATCGTTTTACTTATGATTTAAATTCGTCCGGTTAGTGGTTATTCAATCAAAATCATGACCAATGAACTAAAATTCAAGACAAATTAAGTGCCAACGCTCCAACTGAAAAAATTCAAAAAAAGTCACATTTAGCAAAAATGAGTCCCTATTTTCCCATCCACTAATTACGATTCCAGTTTCATATAAGCATAGCTGATCTCATTCCCTTAGCTTCTTAAAGATCTTATCTTCTTTAATGTCTGATTATGTGAATTTATTATCTAATGTCTGAGCTGTGGTTATTTTAACAGTTATTTTCGAGTGTCAGTTTACAAGTCGTTAGGGAACATTACTTATACTAAAGGTCGTTAGACAATCTTTCTATTATCTTAAATCTTTATCTTATTTACATAATATATTCAAAATATTTTCCTGCTATCACAACATTAAAACGCATATTATCGACAAATGCATTAAAATAATAATTCGACAGTATAATTCATTCGGAATTTTCATCGTGGACTAATCACCCCATAAATGTAACCGGGTTTACTAAATATTAATTTTTTTTTTCGTAATAAATCTCAATTGCATACTATTTTTATACAATTGAATAGTGTAATTAATACGTCTCGAGAAACACTAAGAAAATTGCATTTAATAATAATAGGTACCTCGGTATGTTAACAGTAGTTGGGTGTTACTTTCCGAGATATTTAAGTGCGTCTTTTAAACACACTCGCAGATATTGAAATTTCGAAATATTTAATCGGATTTTTTTCTCTATATAACAATAACATTAAAATACACCCGTGAGCAGTAGAACTCTGTCATTAAAATCGAATTTCCCTATACATGTTTTGTATTACGGACATATCGTTTATAAAACAATAAATAAATAATACATGAATAATACAATTCTAAAAAAAAAACTTATTATAATAATATACAACAAACTATAATACTTCCAAAAAAAAAAAAAAAGTTAGAATTCGAACGTAAAAATAATCGGCGTGTAGGGATTGAAAATTTTAAATGCCCGAAAAGGTGGTTCTAACACGCTGTGTCTCGTCGGGGGAAAAGTGTCGCATAAAGGGAATTTCCAAACAACATCAAGGAAATATATCATGGATTTCGCACCCGTGTCTGAAACATAATCCAGATGGAAACAAAAAATGTAACTATAACCGTACACGAACGAATATAATAAATTACAGATAATTATAATAAATTGTACAATTGGCTATATATATCTATACCAATAATACTACACTGTGTTCGCTGCCGAAAAACTTTTAATGGATTTAATGCCTACCTAAGTACGCTAGGTACCTACCTAGCGCTACCCCCGGAATTAAATATAACAACACGTCACAATTCCTGTGTAAAGTACACCGGTTAGGTTAGGTACACAAATACCGCGTACCGTATATACCTCGGTAAGTGTAAAGTTTGCTCGGGGATTAACCTTCTGTCGTATAAACTCCAGGAGATAGTATAAAGGACATTTTAAATTCAATACGGTATCTAGCTACCGGCCAAAAATAAAATCCTATTTAGCTGCGCTGACGACAAGTGTAATATAATAGTTATAGCGGTGTTTCCGGCTTTAACGAATTAACGAAACACTGACGTTTCTATTGGCAGTAATAATTACTCGTAAATTAGGATATAAACCGTTTAGAATAGAGAGTTTTATGTTCAACGAAATTATAACTTCTCCCTTCCCTCCAGTCTTTTCAAACGTTCTTCAAAACCTCGTTTTTAGCGTATATTACGTAAATTGTTGGCAGATGTCGGTCCATCCGTAATTTATAACAAGAACAGATATTTATATATCTTGAAAACCATTAAATATATGTGCATTTAAAATGCTTAAATATCCCCTTAAAATATGGTAAAAATCAAAGAAACAAAACCAAAAACTGACGAATTTTTAAAAATCATGTTTTAAATGTAAACATCTCGTGTAAAATTTTATGCCGTGGAAATTTAAGTATGCCAAATTACAAAAAATAAAAAAATTTTTTATAGAATCGTTAAAGATATTTTTGTCTTTGTCTTTTTCACTATCATTTTTTTTTTGTATTTTAGATATTATTAATAATAACTAACTATTTTTTTGACCAACTATTAAAAATATGGCTAATCATATACATTTTTGGTATATTTTATATTTATTACTTTTCTCAGGTCCAAAAATGACTCAGCGTATAAACTGCGGACTAATTTCAAAAATACTTTATACCAATAACGTGGAAAAAACTATTTCAATTCCTGTACGGGTGCACTCACATTTCAAATTTGGAAAATATTCTGATTTACTAAGATTTTTTTATAGTTATTCATTTTTATTTTATGCTTTATTTACGTTATATACCTGATTCAGAGTGAATCCATCATTAAAAAATCAACCTGTGTAACGAAAATCGGTAAGAGATGCTCGCAGTCCTTATTTGTACATGTTTAGAGTTTTAAAACCATATTCACGCAAAACAGAAAGACTTGTTTAAAAGTTTCTAAAGATAAAACGTCTTATATAATATAAATACAGAGAACAGTTCAAAGGGAATCTCGCCATATGCGTTTTTTAAAATATTAACCCGATTTATATATGGGTATATGAATTTAAAAATGTTTCATCAGAGATATTGTTTTTTATTATTAAAATAAAAAAGAAAAAATTGTGTCCAAAATAATTTTAAGAATACTGCTTATATCAATGTTATTATAGTCATTGAAAGTGTGTTTGACTACTATTATTTTTTCAAAAATTTCAATACTTACATACAAATATCCGATTTGCAACCTATTAAGATTATCTGGTGTTAGATAGTTATATTTCCATAATATATAAAATTAGCTATACGAACTACAAAAGTGTATTGTACTCGTATTAAATTCACATAATTACGTTTCATAATATTATTCAATGCACACGTCATCCGAGTTAATGCGTCGTAATTTAACCGCCATCTTACTCTTTGACTTTGCGTTAAAAACAATGGTCGTGTATCATATGTGTGTGTTTTCGTATATTGTCACGAATTATTCTACTCGTGCTTTTATAATTTTGTAATAAGTCATGTCAGTGAATATAAAGTCCCTAAACCCTTAAAACCGAACTACGAAACTACAAGTCGTGTATCAATATGATTTTAACATAACCCAACGTACGCCGGTGTCGTTTGGGAATCCGACATTCAACGGCAAAAAGCTGGAATCCATCCAAAATTACATTAAAACCAACGCCACCATTCGTATCCTATCTTATCAACTTCCTTCAACCCAAATCTTTTCAAGACACTTCATAATCAAAACGGCACTAAATGCCTATTCGACGGAACTCCGAAATCCTCATTTCAACCACACTTAGATCATTAATAAAAAAAAAACTCCAGCCATTTAGAGTGGTCGATATTACGAGTTCATCGCATTCCTGAAATCCACTCCAATCATACCCATTCAATTTCCATAAGCGTTACACCTAAAATGAGTATACAGTCCTTATTTATGATCGTCCGTTTCACAAAAACAAAAAATAATCGTTATTTTTATAATATGCAGTATTGTATGAACATAAATGTTAAACTATTCAGATAAAGATAAGTGATTATTGCCGAAATAGTTATCGTTCACATTGATTTTATAATATCAAAAAATAAGGATATTTTAATTAAATCTGTACGTATTTTATCTACATTATATTATTGTATTCAAATTGTTCGTGTTGTACTTGTACTGAATTATAAAGTTTAAAAAATAAGTAACAATTTAGTTATCTAAATAAAGATAAATACCTTATTTGAACTTTTAAAGTTGATCATACATTTTTTGTTAATAGCCTACCGTAAGACTAAATGCTACAAATTGCCAATGCATCTCAGATTTGGTACACGTATAGATTTCAAACGGTTTGTGAAATTTGCGTAATTTTTATTAATTTATTACTCCGTATAACTAAACCTGCTATGATATATTGACCTTTTTTTTTTTAAAAAAAATTCATTTTATACATAAAATAATATTATATACTTATATAGTTATTTATAACAGTTACACAATATTTACCTAAAATATGGATTATAGATGAATCAATTATTTGTTTCAGATATAAAAATTATTTTTTTTTAATTATTTATTATTCAAATAAGATAAAAATTAATACATTTTTATCTAGATAAAACAACACTGGTTATATTATAATAAAGTAATTATTATGTATGCGGTATTATTTGTTAAACTCGGTACAATTAAAACAAATTTAAGATAAATAATAACAACATCACGCTTAAAATCGCTTTATATTAATAATTAAAACGTTTAATTATTCAAATTGAAAAGGAATTTTCGATTCAGTAGGTAGATATAATAAAATAATATCCAAATATTAAATAAAAATTAATTCAAAGTGATATTATTATATTTTAATAAAACTGCAACAGTACATGTAGAGTTTTTTGCGCTGTTATTCATTTTTGTTATTTAAATAATCGCATAACAGTGCTAAAATTTAATTATTCGTTTTTCAGTTTCCTTCCGTAAAAACGTTTTATTATTATACATTTTTAATTTTCATTAACATATTTTTTTAGAGATCTCATATTGTTTTACATTATCTTGTTTTATAGTATTGTACATTTATTAAATTTAATTATTTATTTTTTTTTATCTAATTTTCCATTAAAAAATAAGACTATGTTGTACGTTTTTGTGCTTGTCCTTATTCCAGTGCTTGTGGACACTTGTACTAGCTACCTCTGAACCAAATTACCTCAAACTCGGGAATCGGTGTTTTAATTATACGTGGCCTGGAGTAATTACATTTTGTGAAATATCTCGTCAGGATTAACGGAAATGTTCGACCCTAAATGTATTTGAACGGAGACTTTATCTATTCATGTAAATTGGTACGTAAGGTCTAAATCGAATTTGAAAATGTTTAAGTTTTGAAAACTAAAATAGGGTGGATTTACATAAAAAAAAAAAAAAACAAAAACAGTAAAATTCTTGAATATTTAATTCCGTAATGATTTTATTTTAAATCGTTTTTCTAAAACAATAATTTCATAGACAATATGTTACGTGAAATTTAGAACACTCCGTATATATTAACTATAAATTATTAAACAGACTCAATACGTCGAAAATATGACAGCGGATAATATCGAATAAAACGTTTAAACACCGCGAGCGTTTAAGAATTCAAAACTTATAATACAAACGTCCACAATATTAGTGAAATATTGTAATAATGTCCTTTGGCTGTCACGCCATGTCGAGAGCCGTTGATTATTAAAAGGTTATACATACTTATACGTGGATTTCAACTTTTTTTTTGTTTGTCGTTTATCCCGGCGTGAACACCAACAGTGCTTTATTATGCGCTCGATTTCGTATACACTGATATTATAAAGGTGCGTACAAGTCGTGTAAATTGTTTACTCCGCAGAACATTTCATTCCGACAAACAAAGTGTAATTGTATTAATTTAATTGTGTATTATTCGAAATGTCTAACCGTTAGGAATAATGTACACGCCGGGTTTGCGTCTATCTATCTACATTTATATTACCTCGGTCGTTTGGAACTCGTGATTTCCACATCAAATGATTTTCCGCGTTATCGTCGCGTTTCGCGCGCCAAGACATTATATTGCATCATTTTATTATGTATACTTAATGTTCAAATGATTTACGATAATTATGTAAAACTGAACATATTATATCAAATAGAAAATTCGATTAAAAAAAAAAAAAAAAAAAAAAAAAAAATCTAAAAGAAAAGCCGCCTTACAGTCGATGATTTTGTTAACACGAACGCAGAGTGTGTGATTAACGGAGTTTAGGATAAAAAAAATCCGCGTAAAAAAATTTAAAGTGATCGGACGAAAACTATAATGTCTATATAGTTACGGTAAGTAGTCAAATGACTTTATTCAGTACGCTACGCAGTAAAAGCTTAATGAAATATTGTTGAAACAAGGTACATTTGGAGAACCGTCGGAAAAATAATTTCCGTCTATAAAATCAACAAAAAATGTTCACTGCTTCTAATCAGTCAAAATCATACTAATTTTATTGGCAAACATGCTGAGAAACCCGGAATACGACGAAACAACTAATTTTTAACTCCTATGTCGAATTATTGAAATTTAAAATATTAGAAGAACGTAATTCTGTAGTTTAAAAAGAATTACTATATTTTGTTCCATCTTACATCGAACTTATGTGTAGTCATGAGTTGAGACGAGACAAAAAAACAATTTCTAATTTTTGTTTTAAAATATTTTTTTCAAATATCGTCATATCCCACACGATTTGTCCCGAAATGCACCTAAAATACTAATAATGTACCTAACACTAATTTATTTTTCATTATACGTACTAACAATTTAGTACCTATACTAAAAAATATCTTCTTCCACGATATCCTTTAAACTTTTTCTAGGCCGACCCCGAGTTCTCTTGTTCATTTGGTTGTCACTGCTTTGTAATGCGTGCTCACCACTTTGAATCACGTGCTCGAGAGATTATTGATTCTTAGGATTCTTTGTCGCATAAATATCATGCTGATGGCATACACAATTTTCCTTGCGAGTTTATTGTTAAATTACCTCTTTCACGTTCTTTTTGTACGACCGTGAATTGGTACACATATTATATATTCTGTATCGAATCATTAATAGCCTAAGTCTATACTGCACATGTTTATTATGTAAGCATCGGCCTTATTACCGTCACGTAAATTCTAACTTTTGTTTTATTTGAACATAATTAATATTGTAGGAGTACATACTACAAAATCTGAAACAAATTAAAATAATTCATTTCTCGTTGATTTCAAAGTCTACTACGTTATATGTTATTCGTCTTATATATTGACACCAAAAGAAAATTATAATAATTTTGATAGAGGATCATTTATTTGAATAGAAATTGGTAAAAATAAAATAGGCTTATTTTTTTATTATTATTTATTTATTATTTATTATATTATTTATATTATTTAACTTGATAACTTATTTAATAAATGATTTGTTTTTTTATTGATAATTTTTAATATTTGTCCAGGTCATCGACGTCATATCACTACTCTGAAAATAATTAAACGTGAAGTATATCATTACATATCAGTTCAAAAAATATGTGAGTAGTATTTTGTTTTGTTCCTCTAATTATGACACCATGACTAAATTCGTTTTTTTTTTTTTTTTAGTCTGTAAAAATAATTGTAAACAAAATAGGCACTCGTAATCCCAATTGTTTACATAAGCTATACACCTGTAAAAGCTAAAACGCTTAAGATTTTTTTGTTATGTTGACAATTTAAAGTATTTTTTATTTTTTTTTCGTATTAGAGTGTTTATCAAACACCAGAAATAAATTACTCTCAACTTAAATAAGAGTAAGAGTTTAATAAATTAGATGGTCTTTAGTTGTTTTTAATTAAAGAAAACGTACTAATACTTTCTACAACTAAAAAATTCTCCTACCATGATTTTTTTATTTGTTTTGTATTTATAAAATTGGATCTCGTTATACTGATGGATACAAATGCCAACGAATTGGTGAACTTGGTGCGTAATATTTTATTTTTTCCTTCGGAATTATTTTTATAGCTGTGATAATACCCATCGCACTACGGAGATTTATAAATTGTTACGTTTTTAATATTAAATTCATTTATTATTTTTAAAGGTAAATCGTTTTATTTCTTTTCGATGTATTATGGAATTTTTATAAATTTATTAAATTTTTTGAGAGGATCGAAACAATATAATACGTTGATTGATATTTAAATTAAAATATTATTCTTCTTTATAGCTACTATTCGTGCGGAAAATATCACAGACATCACTTAGTTACAGTCTGAAATTCGCTGTTATCGAATAATATTATATTTCGCTTAGGTACCCGTTGGTCTTTTTGTAAATTCATATTGACCAAATAATGAATTTAATACTAACTATTGTGTTGTACTAGACTGTAAAATCTAGTACAATAAAGTATAAACGCGTGTCGGATACGATCGTGTAATTTTACGAACAAAACAGCCGGCGTAGCATCGTATCGGTAAAACGGCGGCACGTACTGTTTATTATAAAATTTCAAAATCAATTACCTACCCATTTTATCAATAAGAAATTACAATTAACAAAGCTAAAGTGCACTTACTACTTTGAATATCAATGGACGAATGTAAACGATATATATAATTGAATCGACTATCTGTGAGATAAAGATAAATAATCTGCAACTTACATTGTTAAAAAAAAAAAAAAATATTTTTTTTTTTTTTTATGTATTAAAAAATGTAATTCCTAAAAGTATCGCATTTAGATTTAAAAATGTCTGTTTGATCATTGTAAATTTAAAATTTAGCTATAATAATAATATATAAAATATTTTTGATTCTAATTAGAATACATTCGCTTATATTGCAGCGATGCGTATCTCAGTTTTTGTAATTGAACAAGATGATCGAAAAATTGTTTTTTGAAACCATCTCTAAGACAAGTATGAATCGCTGAGATACGTTACGCTGATACGAAGTTTTGATATAACTGGTGTTTTCAGTTTCGTTATTTGCAGTGTAACCACGGGTCTTATAAGAAAAAATAAAAAATTGTATAAGAAACTATTCCTCCGGAAACACTTGTTTTATTATTATCGATGACAAAAAACAGCGAATAGTTTAAAAATGACACTTGACCGGTTATTGTATACCAGCTGTGAATTATGATTCTTTGTAACCTATTATTAAATGGTTGTTTACCGAATTTCTTAGTTTCAAAAACTCAAGGTTATCCGTTTATTGAACACAAAAGAATATGGAGTATCTATACCCTGATAATAATCGAATTTTATTAAATGTTTAGATATTTGCAAGATATTGTAGTTGTCTACGATGATATCAATTCTGGTTAAAAAAAGTTTAATTAAGTTGTCCACTTTTTTGGATTAGATAAAAAACAAATGTAATTTAATCGTGTAAATAAAATGCAACATCGATTTCGAGTGTTAGAGTAAGAAGTTCTTTTAAAAACGTATGAATAAATAATGTAATTTAATAATTTGAAGAATTAGATTATGAAATAAATACTATAAGTCTGTATAATTAACTTATAATTATTTTATTGTTATTTTATGTAACAACAAATTTTTTTAAATTTTTTCCTTTTTTAACATAAATGTATCAGAAAATTATAGATCCATATACAATGCATATTATTATATACTCTGTATTAAGTACCACGAACCCCTATTTTTAAATTTACACTATCCATATTAAATCTTTTTAGTAATTTATCGATGATATCTAAATACATTGTGTATTTAAATTGAACAATACTTGAACGATATAATATATTATTAATATTTTTAACCCTTCAGTAACGGATTAATTTATTATTCGAAATAAATTCGGTCCAGCGTGTAATACGGGTGCCCCGAACCCTCCCCGGATATTATACGAATTATATCCCCGATGCTATTATATAAATTATTTTATAATATTATTATAACATAAGATTATTATAATATAATAATATTATAAACACGGAAATGCATAAAATTTCGGTTTCTATAATTATGATTAATGCATATAACGGCATTATAATATTTTACACGTCTATGACGTCACGGCCATTTATCAATGTTTTATGTATATCGCTCGTGTATACCACGGTGTTCAATAATTTAAAATAAAATCCATTAGGCCGTTCGGTGTATGGTTATGTTGGTATAATAAACCCTTTAATGTTGCGCTTAATATTTTATTTCTATACTATATATTATAGTGGCAGAGGCGCGCACCGGTTAAGAAGCGATTATCTTAAATCCGCGGACCCTCCGGAATGGACTGGAGTGACCGCGTACACAACGGTTCAGGTAGGTAGGCATTAAAAAACTTACCGCGTAACGGAGGCAAAAAAGAAATCGGAAAATTTTAAGCCTTATTAGTAACTTTACTACAACTAGAGTACAGAGCGTGCAAATTATTATATTCGATCCATCTTCTGTCTGCTGGATGGGTTTCGAATAACCATTGGGCACCGGAATTCTATATGATAGTGTACTATCTGACTACACTCACCTGCACAGCTTTTACATTTTTTTCCTTGGTGACTATCACCTGCCATCATATGCAGTGCACTGTACGACGAAAATTCCATATGTAGTAGCGATGTAGTTTTGTCTGCACGTGTGTAAACAAATGAAACTGACACTGTCGTTGTTCGCAATCACTTGACGTTGTAAATTATATTTGATCACTCTTGTGTTCTGGTATAATCACACCATGGTATTATTTTATGGGAAAGCGTTTGTGACTTGTATTATTACTGACCACGTGTGTTCTTTGTGTACGCAGTCAGTCAGATGACAAAAATGTTTAAATTATTAGTCTTCCTGCAATGTATTAACTATGCGCACCGTATATGGTTAAAAAAAAAAATATTATAAAACATAATATTTTACATTGCTTACTGTATACACTGTTCCCCGGCGTAAGACTTGGAATTGGCGTTCGATAAAATTATAATCATAGTTTACAGAAATATATTGTATTCAATGAGAGGAGATCACAAAAAAAAAAAAAAAATACAAAAAAATGAAATTTGTATCGAATAAATTGTAAAGAGGAACAAGGCGGAGCGAAAGAATTTAAAGTTAAAACACTTGTCCCTCTTGGCATCGTCTAACGGCATTTCTGACAGAAGACTTATCTATGTTGTTTTCGATGGAACTTCATTATGTCAGTGCTTCAATCGGAAATCTATATTTACATAGTATACAATATATAAACTTATAACTAAAACGGAGCTCGTTCAAGTGAATGCAATTTCAATAAATAATCTCTTTGTAATTCGTTACAGTATTTTGCTTTTGTATTTTTGTTTTTGTTTTTGTTTAATGAAGAACACGAATGTCAACAATTATGAACTAAATGGTTTTTATTTTTCAATAATAATTATGTTGCCACGATTTTCTGGCCGTTTTCCAAATTCACGCGCGAGCGCGACAAAGTTTCGAAAGTCATTCAGACCCCACTGCACGCCGGTCTGTATATTATTATTTTATTATGTATACGGATGATTTTCGTTTAAATTATGCGGGAACACCGGTGAACTTTCGAGAACCATTTTTCTGAATGTTCTAAGTTGTATACAAACAAAAAAGTATACGGGCATAAATCTTATTTGAAAAGCGTTATAGCAGCGTATAATATAAAGCCCACAGTTACTAGCTGGTAATGATTTTATTTTATCAAAATTATAATACTTCGGTATAACTATAGTGCAATTGAAAATTTCTCGTGTTTACGCGTGTACAATAGAAGCCTCAAAAATACCGAATCGAATTTTATTCTATTCATTCGATGGTTTATTACTGACGCGAAATACGAATAAAATAACATAATAATATTGGCTGGCGATGTTTTCATTGAAGTGTAATTTCACACGTATATTAGAACAAAACGAGAGAACGCATTTAAAATATATAAAATTTAAAAATCGACGAAAGTATAAAGGTTTTTGTACAATTCAATAATACGATTGATGCTATTTGGATAAAATAAAACATAAATTGATTTGTTAGAATCACGCTGTGCAATTGTACTCGGTAATAGTATATGGACATGAAACTAAAAACAATAATCCTTTGACATTAAAATGGTTAAATGAAATTATACAGCTGAGATCCGTGGACAGCAATCATTACAATCAAGAAAGTAATGGCATTTTGAAATGTGTAGTTGTAAAATGCCTGATATTTCGCCGTGTGACGAATAAGTATCAAATAAAGAAGTTTACAGAAGATTAAGGAAAAATGACAAATTTGCGAAATCATAGAAAGGATAATATTATATGATGACTAAGCGACACCACGATGATTAATCGCAGACAACCATTGAAGCTTATGCAATGAGGTCAAATCGGTAAAAAAAACAATAAAGATGAAATATCTACCACAACTTCTCAAGGATACGGGAACGAATCGATGCTATCGAAAGTTGAAGCCGATTCTTGTACAGAGAAGCTGCACGGAGAACTGTAGGTAATTCGAAAGATTGAGGGTCAAAAGAAGAAAAAATCCTAGAATAATGGGGACAAATGCAGCCACTGTTATAGATAATTTAATGTATACCCGTAAGCATCAATAAACCATTGCTTAAGAAAAACCGATTCTGAGCAGAGTTAAGTTGATATTGATGCATTGTCAACAATATATATATATATATCATTTCATAGTAAAATAATTAGATAGGCTTTATTTATTTGCTTTAATAATATATATTTATTGATGTACCGATTTTCCCAGTTTTCCTATGTTTTTCAAGGTTTTCCCATATTTTATACCGGTTTTTCACATTTGCTGAGAAAAGTGTTGAAAAATATATCTACAAATGACCTTTCTAAAGTACCTCCCCAATCGGATTTCCTTTTAGAAACATTGCTATCATAATAAATTATAGCGAAATTGTTGGTAGAATAGTTGTTTACAGAAAAAAAGAACGCCGTAATATATTTTAAATAATACCTACATTTCCTATATTTTTCCGATTTTTCAAATTTGATGAGAAAACCCCTGAGATAATCAAATAGTGACATATCTTTGTAAAACCATAAGCTTCATCGTTCTACTCAGAATCTAAAATTATATGTTTTTGAATATGGAGACAAAAATGTTTGAATAATTTTGAATTGAGTGAACAAATTATTCAAATTATTCGAAAACAGTAGACACGACGACGTAACGTAACCGGAAAACGCACTTATAGACCCTATTCGAATTCGGTCTAAAATGAATCGTAACCCAAGTGGTTTTTTTAGACTATACAAAACTAAATATAACTATTACTCTAATTTTGATACTGCTGCAAAGAAGTGAGTTTCTAAAGCGTAATCATAAAACTTACTAACTATTTGATGAATAGCTACCATCAGTCGAGATAAAGTAATAGGGAAATGGATAAACCTAACATACTTGGTGGCTTAAAACTGATATAATTACAAAGAAATTAGTGTCCTTGGTATAAAATCTAAAAAATTATGTACAAACTACGTCGGTATACACACAGTACGAGTTTAAATCGCATAGGGTCCGTGAATACGCTGCCGAGTGTGTTTTAATATTTCTCGATAGCACAGCGCTCGGAGTAGGCAATTCAGCTACAGTAGCGCTATGCGGAACAGTACTAATCGTTCATTCGGAATGTACAATGCATAAATCACATTGCAAGATTTTAATAATTAATAATAATCAATTATTGCAATTGCATCGCTACAACTTTAATCTGACACGTATTGTGCAATATTATTATTATTGATATAAACTACATATACGTATACGCAAAGGCGGACGACAGACGTTGACTTACGTGTCTGTTCAAACAATGTAGAATTTCCCGTGAACACAACAATAATGTCATGGAACATAATATTATAACCGTGCATTATAAAAACTGTGACGTTTCTCAAAAGACAGTGATCAATAATATATTTGACAATGTTATCGTATGAGTATTAGAATGTACTATTATTTTCGCGATGTGGAATAACATAAATTCGGCTTCGTTTCCAGCACTTCCGCAATCGAATTTCAATACTTAAACAACATAGTGTACTTCGTTTTTTTTTCTTTTTTCGAAAAACTCCGTGAAAAAATGTTTGTTCTATTTTTTTCCCAGGTGTATTGTTTTAAAGATCTGATTGGCACGCTTTCGATTGTGCTTTTACGAAGTTGTACAAAAACACAAAAAAATGCATAGTATTGCCAAAGTTTGGTATAAAATATTCCAAAGGCAGTGTTAGGGAAGCGGAACTCCTAAATTTTGTTCGTTAGTTAATTTATAATAAATGTCTTCCTTTAAACATATGATACACATCATATGGAAAAAATCCACACATTTTAAGGTACTTTGTAAAGATAACAAGTTTTTGATTAAAAAAAAAAAGCTATTACAAATTAAAAATTATAGCTATTTTGCTACACGTTGTAAAATCTAAAAATCTAAAATCTGTAAAAAAAAAAAAAAAAAATGCAAATAAAAATAAATAAGAATACGTTATTACAATATGTTATATTTTTGAAATATTGAAGTTCGAAAGATTACAAAATATTTTATAATACAGAGTTTCAAAGTTATTTTACAGACCCCGAATATCGTTACATCAGTGAATGGCTCCGCCGGGAGATAATATCCGTAAAACCAAGATTCCAAGATTAAAGCACACTCGGGGTGACTACCGTAAAAAATAAATAATGGAATTTATAATTTCAGTTTATACAGTTCCGTATATGCACTCCAGATCGATAAATAATCTTATCTTACGCATGTTGTAATAATAATTAAAGGATCTACTCTTATTACAAATTTGTTCTAATAGTTCTTAGAGAAATTTATAAATATAAGCTATGTATTTTTGTTTTTTCATTAAACCGAGATGTCGAATTCCAAATTTTGTTTTTCATATTCTAAAGTTTTAATCTTCTTTCACATATTTTAATTTGAATGTGTATATTTTTTTAAGGAATACATTTAAGTTGTTTTATGAATTTATTTATGAACAATTATCGTGCTTCTAAAAATCTTTTCTAGAGCTGCAAACTACGACTTCCTTGTAATAATTGTATTATTTAGATTAATTAGCAAACATTTTTTTTTTTTTTTAAACTATACAATTTGCATATGATTTTACTGCTTGATAGTCGAAAAGAAAAGATAAATTTAGCTCTTAGACTATTTTAAAAATTTTAAGTTATTTACAATGTTTATATCGGTAAGAGTTTTCGTAAAATTTGCGATATCGTGCTTCGTCGATAGTTATGTATCTTTAAACAAAAAACACAAAAATAAAAACACACATCATAGCTGTTGAACCAAGTATTGAAGAAACCATAGTATCCCTTGTCTACGTTCCGAATCTAAAATGGTTGTTTTTCACCTTGTGATTGTGCAGTAGACCTTTCCACATTGACTAAAGATGACTCACCAAATGAACTCAGGCGGATAACATTTTGCTTATGTATATGGTGTCAGCATCAAAAAGACGTTTCTTTTTGGATATTGAACTTTTAATCCTCACTTTTACCTTTTTAATGTTTAAATTCTACCATTTTTTGGTGGGAAGTAGTATAAAATACTAAAAATTAAGTTATTATTATTATTAGCAATTATTATTTCTATAACCCAAAATACGTTTGGAAAAATTTGACTCTACGTATAGTGACGAATATTGCAGCTCATGAGAGTATAGATTTTTATATAAGTGAGGGATGAATTGGCTTTACTTATGATGCGCTTAATTTTATTTTGTATCTATCAACAAATTATTTTACCGAAAATCATCCAATCGAAAATTTATAGGAACTTATTCCAGTAAATTTGATTCAATTGGTATACTTAGAGAGGTCGTTTTTGGATTTTCCTCGTAGATTTCTCCAGAATTGAAAAAAAAATTGTTAATATTTTGTACAATTTTTGTTGATTACTATTACCTTAGAAACGAAGAGAAAATATGATTAATAACAATATGCTTTATACTCTTTTGGTATAACATACTCTGCTTGGAAACATTTTTCGTTAGAAATGGTTTATCGTCCGTGATATAAATTAAACTTTCTATATTATCTCTTCCAATGTCCCTTATAAAATATTGAAGCACCTACCGCAGTATTATGGCCTTTTTTTTTTTTTATTTAATATATATTAATCATACTAATGTTTATACAAGGATCCCATATAGATACGATCATTGCAATATCTTGGAAATTCTTTTCTTACAATTTGAAATACAAGTATCTCTAAAACGTCACAATCATATTATATTTTTCACTTTTATTTCTAGAGGTGAACGGACTGTCTATAATTAAAAAAAAATTTCATAAAATGACGGATAATTAGTTTAAATAAATCTCAGTGTTGGCATTTTTTTGATTTCCGTCAACCCTTTAACGATAATTCTACTTTGGTTTGGATGGAACAGTGGAGCATCATGCAATATTTTAAAACCACTTGGTTCTTACATAAATCAATACTTTATAGAATAACACAATGATCATAATATCTCCGTGGGACATCGCATATAAACGCGAATCAATAAATATAATATTGTTTTATGCCTATTGTAATTGCTAAAACATTCAGAATATAATGTATGATATCAGATTCATTTGCTAAAATCATTTACATCGAATTCCGCCGCGGAGAATTATTTTATTTTTATTATGTAACGATGACGACACGATGTTTTGTTTTTAGTATAATATACGCATTTTATATACGCTCGAACAAAAATATTACGAAAGTGAATTATGACTTTTAATACTTGCGCTGGTTTGATTAATACCCTCGCGGAGCAACTCCTCTTATTATTATTATTATTGTTATATATTTTTCAATTACGGTTTTTTGGGCACCACACATATTATTATTATTACACACCACTTTTATTTCGACAATATTTGCAGGAGTTACGATATTTTATTATAGAGACCGTTGGTGATAAAAAAAAAAAAAAAAAAAAATTAAAACACATTTAGTCAAATTTATTGTCTCGTTTTTGTTGTTCCTAAACCGCTACCGCGGTGGCGATTTAACAGATTTTACCAATAATTATTCTTAAAAAAAAAAAAAAAAAAACATAATATTGGCTTTTGACGTTAAAACGTTGATATTAATATTTATGGCGAAGACGAAAAAAAAAAAACACAATTACGTTTTGAAACCCAACAAATTTGTTGATATACAATTAGAACAATAGTTAAAACGCGAATCGCTTTCTATTATATTTTTAGGCTTTTGTTATGTACCTACATATTAATGAATATGACATAATCCGTCACATTGGCGTTGTATTACGTTTAAGTTTAGAAAATCCGTGAACGTACTTCGCACCATATATTGATCGCTGCAGCCCAGGTGGCAAGTTTGAATGGATAAAATATTATATGAAAGCACATTATTATTTATATAATACAAGCAATGATTATTGATTTAAAAAAAAAAAAAAAAAAAAAATTGTTGATCGGATAGTATAGGTGTATAGTATTTTTCGTGTCTTTTTTTCCTTTTGTAGTTTCCACAAGATAACTAAGAAAGGGATAAAAATAAAACCAACACAATGAAAGGCGTTGTTAGTTTTGTTTTATAAATACTGTTGCGAGTTTAGCGATCTGTTCCGATAAAAATTATACGATCCGGCAAAAAATGTTCAAGGTAGATATAAAATTCCAATGATTTAGAGATGATTTCATAAATTGAGAAATGTGTTTTCCGAATAAAAAACCCAATTAAATTTCTATAGTGGAAGAACTGTTGAGAATTTCGAAAACGCTAGTTAATTACTATCGGGCGTAAATTCCGCACCTCGGAAGGTTCACTAACCGAAAAAAGTTTTCAGTGAAAATTTATCTAATTGAAAATAGTGTTTTTGGAAAAAATATTAGACATCTCGAAAAATAGTAGCTTACAAGAAAATTACACTTACTTTTAAATAACATTAATTTGACATTTAAAACGTATTTTTTATTTTATTTTATATGATAGGTATTTTGTTTTTACCGACTCTGTATCGTTGTAAAATGATTTCAGTAAGAGAGCACCATAATAATATTTGAGTAGATTTACAGTTTTCCCTCTTCTCGTCATTAATGATGTACCATCTATATAAATTATTCACCTCTCGAAAATGATTAAATATGCGTACGTTCGTGGTTTTAGTTTTTAGAAAATCAATAACCTTAACAAATTATTTATAATTGTGCACAAACTTTTATTATCACGATTACGTATTGAACAATTTTTGGGTTATCGCTACAAAGAGCTACCTGTTCACACACCTAACGAATTGCTTACTAAAAATAAAAATCAATGCATACATGATCAGGTGGAAAAGATAACAATATGACCGTCATATGACGGCGGTAAGCCCTACCAGTTTTATGGCAAACAATGTCCCACACAGCCCCAAAATACATTAAAAATTCAAAGGAATACACTATAATAATATCTAAAAAAATAAATGAATAGATAACGGAGAAAATAAAGTATATAAAAATCAAAAAATGCAAAATGAAATGTCTTATTCGCATTTAAAAATACATTAAACGAATTCGTTAAAAAACGTGACACGTTATGAATTTTGACAATATTATTTTACTGTCCAATAATATTATACATTCATCAAATGCTTAATAAAAATGTGTTGTTCTCGTTCGAAAATAAATAAAACAACTTTGCAGCAAAACGAGCATCGCACAAAAAGCTTTGAAGAACTATGCAATACACATTAAAATAACAATTAGTATTGCAATTTTATTATAAGTGTTAACAATTGTAGTTTCTATGTTCTGAATCGTTTGTATTATGGAATGCCGAACATTTTACAATGTAACCATCAAATAATATTTATTATGCTCGTAATATTCTAACTTAAACTGTACCTACATATAAATATACAATATCGTATACGTTTGAACAAATAAAACGGCAGACGACCCGAATTATATAAATAAAACAAAAACAATAACAATTTAAATAATGATAATAACTTTCGATAACGACGTTTTAATCATTTTATTAAATTCTATACTCGGCTGTAATAAATTGGCGTTCGTTTTTATCGCCTATTCCTTATTACAGATATTAAGAAAAAACAAAAAATCGAGGTATAATTATTTATTATTATCCACTACAGTCGTTTGGAAGGTAAATTAATATTCGATAAAATACTCGCTAAAATGTCGATAATTTTAAAACTCGATAATCTTTGGGTAAATTAAGTGGTCACAAAATATGTAACACAATTTCTCGAATTATAAAATCATTTTCTGTGACTGAACGTTGTAAATAACTACCTGTGGCGCAGGCCGAGAAGGGATGTTTTGGGTGTCTGGACACCTCTCTACCAATAAGTTGTAATAAGTTGCACTTGGTGGAAACTCATGACGGTAAAAAACTTATTATTTAGGCTTTACACCCAAACTCCTTTTGAATATTTGATTAATTTTTTATTGATTGCCATAGAATTAGTAATATTGATCTTTTGTATTATATAAAATTGAAGACAGCCATGGGGGTTTTTTTTTTTATGCATTTACCTTTTACGCTACGAGTACAAAAATTAGTACCCACTTACCATTGTTAATTCGTTTAAATGTACTTAATGTTGCACTCAGTCAATATGCCTTTTCGATCCGATGTACAAATGCGTTGTATGAAATATAAATAATAGTAATGTGTTCATTCGGAATCGGATATTTTTCAGTTATCAAAAAGTGTTTAATTTTATTTAATTGTTAATGTAAATGAACAATTTTTCCGTATGTTTTCAAATCATTCTAAACAAAACTTGAAATTATTAAAATGGCCTCGCGTAATTTTGTTCTGTATACATAACAAATGTATACTCAAGGTAGCCAACAAGTTAAAATTTCATATAATACCTTTTGAACATATTATTCAATTACAAAAACCGTAGATATAGACTATATAGATTATAGATCTGAAATATAGAACAAAATTTCTGAAAGAAAATTTGTTTACAGAAAAAATTAAATAAACATTGTATAACCAATACATTTCTAGCTCCGCTCAGAACCATAAAAGGGAAAATATATAATATATTTTCTTTAATCACTATTACGGTATACCGTTGAGATTTATAGATTTTTACGGACTATATTTTTATTTAAAAACCAATTGAAGTCGATAGATAAAAATATTATATTATATTAAAATATTTCTCATATGATCTGTTCATTTACTATATAGGTACATTTGACCACGCCCGAACAAATACACAATCCTAATTTACCAGTCCGGCAAACAATTTTCCAATTCGGTCAATATGGGTACCTAACAACGATATCATCGGTGTATATTTTTTTTTTATTTCAATTTAACTTTAAGGTATAAGCGGGCGTGCATATAGAAAATATTATAGTTAACTAGATTGTAAGTTTAGAAAATCGTTGAGTACTGTTAAATCTATAATGATTTGTCAGTGTGAATATCGTTCAAATGAAAATAACGAAAAATTACGCGGTCAAAATAACAATGCAATACTGAAAAACGGCCGTAGAATTTATTTAATCTAAGTAAAACGACACATTTGAAAATAAATAGGTTACTAAACGATTACTAAACAATATATATTTTGTTTAGTACGTCAGTTTGCAGGCTGGTCGAAATGAACAAAACTCTTCGATACATTATGTGATGTGGTGGTGTTCTCGGTAGATAGTGCCGCTAGATTTGTTCGAAATCGTTGATTTATTTTAAATAATATCTAAAAGAAACTTACAAAAAAAAAAGAAAAAAGAAGACGAAATCAATTTCTCGTGTACCATCTGTTGTAACCATCATATACCTAATATAATCCATCATCTCACAATGGCGAGTTCTCAATCGTTTTGTTCGGGAAAAACGAACCGACGATTTCATTCGCGTACCGAGAACATTAGTGACGATAAACAGTCGGCAAGCAATTTTTGCTGTGGTGGATTTAAGGAGAAAGCCAAATGGATAAAATGTTTATAAACTAAACATGTGTATTTGCTCGATTTATTAAAAAAAAACACCAAAACAAAAATAGTGTGGAGATGTCAAACGAGAAACGATAAAAATTGATTCGAGCGACTCATACGAATATACCATTACAATACTATTATTGTTTTTGCGTATGCCTTAATAATATTTATTTTTAAACCAATGAATTGTATAATTTTCACGATATTCTCACCAAAGCTCGAGATCTAGTTAATATAGTTTGTATATCTGATCTCGAAAAGAATGTAATTGTTATTGTATACATGAGTGACGACCAGTGACAATTGTTTATTTTTTTAAAAACTCGACAATAAGTTTGTTTCGTGAGTTATTATATTGCGCGGTAAAACAAATGTCAACGATTTCGAAGAAGACCAAGACGGATTGGTAGACTAGAGATCTAATCTGAAGTGACGGACCCAGAGTATTGACGAGGCGAATGAAATATATTTTATATATTCATGAAATCCTCGTGTAGTCGGGTGATTTTTCGATTGCATCGAACGATCGTGTGTTTTCTTTATAATACTTATATATCGGATACAATCAACCGCAATACAGGCAATATATCGAAATAAGTCTAGTTTTGAAATTTTCCGCGTGCAATTCTCTTTTTTTCAATCCCTATTCATTTTGCAATAATAGTGGGAAAACCCGATAATGCGAAAATATTTCTACAACAGAACGGTTGTTGTAAAAGAGCCGTGGTATACAGTTCAGCATTTTACCGAAACTCGTTCAGTATTATTTTCGTCACAGTGTGTAAACCATTAAACACAATAATATTTTTGCTACAAATGTACGATATAATCATCGTACATGTTTATATAGTTTCGGAAATAAAATAAATGTTTTTAATCTCAAACCAGTTGCAAAAGCGACCGTTTGGCGAGTATGCGTAGTAGATACCCGCACATTGTCGACCGAAACATGATCGATTCAAAATCATTTTTCTAACAGTCTCTTCTTCACAACGACTGTTCTCACGAAATTACCGTGTGATCGGAATCGATTCATGCCCATGTGCGATGTGAGCACATACATCGATTGCGAATCGGTTGCACAATAGTTCGAGATTCTCGTTGTGAACTAGTCGCACCGTGTACGGAGAACATTATAGCGTTTTGTATTTTTCAAGACGTTTTAATTTCCAAAAATATTCCCGCGTGGTTATTCGCAGCGGCCCGTTGACATTTTCAAAGTTTTCCAGTTATTTTTTGGCAGATAATGACAGTAATAATAATAACAATAGAATAACAATTATTGTTGCAGATAAACCGGACGCGGGATAAAAGACACGTCGGTACCGAGAACAACGACCGGAGATGAGGACATCGGAAATAATTTATGTTTCTCGTCGAGCTCTATCCATGGCGCGTTCGCTATGAAATATCGTATTCTCGTCTCTGGGAGGTCCTTCGCGGCCAGACATCGGCGGCGGCAGAAAAACTGCACCGCAGCGTGTACACCGATCGTAATAATAATATAATACTCGAGTATATTTTATAACATCACTACTCGTATTATATACCGCATAAGTATGCGGCAATTGTTTTCGCATTTTCCGACTTTTGTTCTTTCCGTATTATACACACCTACTTTATATGATAATAATATTGTGTACGTCGCGAGCACGCCGTACGTGTGTATTCCGGGAAATTCCGGTGCGCGCCGGTCTTTATTTTATTTTCCGAACCATTAAGTCGCGAGCGAGCGGGACGCGGTACCGCGCGACGACTATATAATATGATATACATCCCGCTCGAAACGCCCCGAAATCCGTCCGCCCCCGCCCAAGTCCGGACGACGCCGTTTTTACAGGGCAAAGAGGGGACGAGCCCAAAAAACAAAAGGCGGAAAACCGTTACCCCGTCGCGAAAACGCATTGTATTGTTCACAGCCGAAAACATCTTGAACCGGCGGCGGTGATAATATTTGTAAGCGGTGAGCCTAAGCTGCAGTGCCTTTTGTCTTTAATTTAAATTACGACCGTTCAACGTCGTCGTCATCGTCGTAGTCGTCGCCTGCACTGCCGCGAGACCAGTGTAACTCAGTGTAAGTATATATAATATACGGTACACCGGCTACGGGTGAACCATGCGGTCGTTTGTCAACCGAGACAGACGTGAAGTCGGCGGACGTGCAGTAGTAAAAAAAAAAAAAAAAAAAGGCTAATACTGCCGGTGGGTGATCCACTGTTTTAGGATAGACGTTGGCGAGGAGGATATGCTCGTATAAATTAACGCAATTTATATTCATACGAAAAGATAAACCGTTGCTAATGAAAAAATATCCTGAGCAGTGTAGTATTAGTTATATAATGTTTTGCCTTGTTACCGTGGCGCGTAGTTAATCCAGGAATCAAACCAAATAATAAAAAAAATTGCCAGTTTTTTTCATTTATTCAGAGAACTATAAGTAAAATCCAAAAATAACATCCTCGACACATTAAATAGGTTAATACTGCTAGAATAAAGTTTATATACAGTTTTTTTTTAGAGCAAAATTTCTGGTAGAAAATTTGTTTACAGACATTAAACAAAATTCACTGTAGTAAAACCAATGTAAAATTTGCTACGCCCAGAATATAGAAATACTATTTTAAACAATTTAAACCATGTACGACATTCAATCTTTGTGTGAATACTAAGTATCTATAATAAAAATCGGGAAATTTCTTTTTTTATCCACCAAAATTTCGAGTACTAGCGCATTTTAGATTACAATGATACTTATTTTTATTTCTGTGAGTAACTTTTCTATCAGCAATTTTGTTCCGGTTTTCAGGTATTCTTTTACGCTTTTTCTGAAAGAAAATTTGAGTTAATTGGTGCTTTCAATAGGTCGACTTTCCTAGGAGTTATCGTGATAAATGAGAAAGGACGGGATGAAATATTGGAAAAACGGTAAAATGTACGAAACATATTATTTTAAAATCGTATATATTACGACCTCTCAAACCGTGTATAACTGAAATCCGCTCAGATTCGTTTTTCACTAGCAACGGTTTATCGTTGGGTACAGATATTAAAGTTTCTCTCCAACATCCCGACTTCTTACCTAAAGTGGTCCACCGATCCTGCGAATTATGTCAGTTGGTTTTTGTATTTAGATTTCGTCTATAATATTGATATATTATTATTTTAGAAATTCAATCCCATAAAAAAACGTCGAAACCACACAGCATTCTTCTCACCATTAAATCTTTATCTTAGAGAATATTATGTTTTCGACTGGGTTTTATGCATAATATGAGTTATAACTCATACATTATATTATAATGTAGTACAAGTAGTTTGAGCGAATGGACCGGTATGCACGTGAATCGTTCAAATCGTTTTAGTATTTTCAATACTAAAACTTAATATAGTTTAATATTTAAGAACCCCCTCCCCCCAATCATAATTCTTACTATACTATATGTCACTAATTCGTAGTGGTTTATTTTTGTGTTTTTATTTTAGGTTTTTGTACGTAATCCCGGTCTTATGACGATTTTCGAAATAGATTTTACTTTTATTACTGTATCTAAACACGTGTTTTCCTTCACATAAAAGCTCTTAAAGTATGTATAATTGTTTTCAGCTAGTCTAAAATTTTTTTTTTTTTTTTGTAGAAACAAAATATTAAAGGTCGCTTCTATATTAGATTATTATTACTTATCCGACCGTACAAAACATAATATACCTCAAAACGATCTGCTTTCATTTACTCGAAATCCGTGTTTCTTATGACATTATATAATATAGAGTTATCCGTGCAAAATACTTATTTAGAGAGTAAAACATGAAACAAAAAGAGAAGAAGAACAACAAATTTAGTTTATCAGGAAACACTAAACAGTAAGCTTTACCTAAAATATTATACATTTTGTATAATATTTCGTTATTTTCAATTATTAGAGTAGTTATTTGATAAAATCATACCAAAATATTATTGTTATTATTATTGTGATCATAGTAATATCTTAACTGTAAACAGTCAATGAACAATTCAGATATTTTACGTAGCTATCTAATAAGAAAACTGGCGCTTATCGGAATAACATTTTATTACTTTATAAAATATATTTATTAAGTTCGTAATAATTTGTAATCATTAAATGGACATAATTTAAAAAAAAGTTATTTTATCGAATTTTTTTCTTTGACCTGACCTGGTACACCATCGTCATAATTCTAAAATTATTTCACATGTTCGTACTTTAAAAAGACATCTTAATTTATACCTCATCCTAAAACCATGCTTTTAAGTTCAAACGATATTCGTGTTATTATTTAGGTGAGTCGTTTATCAGATCTCCATTTCATTTTTATAAATTTAATGTCTAAAGTTCCGTTATTTTAACGAGTAATGATTTTCGGAGCTCTATTCAACGATCGTAGTTTGATTTATTATTGTTAAAAAAATCTCATAGTATTATATACCAAGCCTTATCCCTCAAACTCAATTTAACAATAACATGATTTCTTTATAATAATTTGAACTATTTTAAACATAAACAAAAATTTCTGAGCATCTTCACTGTCCTTCTCAAAAAAAGCCCGGATCTTCCCTTATAGTGCACTGGCGGTTTATATTTTTCCGTGCGTATTATTATAACCACTGAAATTATATTAATTATCTCTTCTTGTATTTGGTAATTCGTATTCAGTTATTTAATGCACTTTAATTAATTAAATTATATTTTATAAACAACTAGGTACTCCGCATTAATATAGTTAATTAAAGTAATAACAATTAGTCGAAATAATACTAACCGAAACGACCAGGGAGGGGCTTAGAACTTATTTTTAATGTTTACAAACATTATGAACCGTGAACTAGCAGTAGAAATTTGTCTTGAGCAAAAATAACAGCTTTGTATAGTCACTTGTTAAAGTTAAAACTACGATCATTTACAAAAATTCAAAAAGATAAAAATTGATATGTTTAAATAAATTATTTAAGTTTTTTTTTTTAGGCAATAATATTTGAATACACAAATTAATTTATAATTCTAACCGTAAAGAATTTTTTTCGTATAAGTATACTTAAAAAAAAACTTCACATTTTTTAGAATTGCGAGTAAGAATGGGCCAACTATCAAAATGCTTGAATATAAAAAAAAGCATTAACGATCATATTATAATTTGCTTTCTCTTATTTAAAAATTCTCCTTAGATGATGTGGATGTCAAAGTACTTTAATAGGTTTAGTTACTGCCTAGTTTGCTTAAAGTATTATAATATTTGAAATATTTTGTAATTTGTTTAGGGTTCTTGAACTCCTACAAAATCACTTTACCTATCTTCTTTAAGTAAAAACGTACTTATTTCTGATCTAAATCAAATTCCTGGCTCGCTACTGGGAGCGTATAATACGTATAGAATCGAATTTTACAATATTTCATACAGGTATTTTAATAGTTAATCAGTTTTAACGCAATTACAAAATAATACGCGTTGAAATATAGCAAACATTTCTGGTTTAAATTCTGATATTCTGTTTTGTATATTATTATATCATCAGTGACATAATGTTAATTAAAATCTCGGTGAATGGGTTTAATTTATAAGTTCTCAAAACAGACGATACGGTGCAGGTATTATTAAAGCTTGACAATGAAATAACTACACGTGACTCAAGATTAAAACGTATAGTACCAATTACGTCACTGAATATACAAAAGGTACTAAAACTAAACGATACATTATTATAAAATATTTTGATATTGATTTTTATTTTGACTAATGAAAACAATGCAGTATTACACATACTCTCCTACCTTCCTACTAGGAAAAGAGGAGGTAATATCAGATCACGCATTGCCCTCATTGTCAATGGCACATTCATAAATGATAAAATACGAAATTTCCCACCTTCATAGGTATAAGTGTAAGTGGATTGTCGATTAGTTTAACAATTTAACAATTAAAGTACCGCCGGGTGAAAAATCTATAACTTGTAATGTAGAAAGCATAGTATAAACAGAACATTATGGAGTATTTTTTAAAGAGAAAAAAAATTGTTCTCCAGAGGAAAAAACACGTCTTATAATAAAACTCGTATTGTTTCTCAAAATCGAAAATAGATCTTAGACGTTTTAAAACTACACTGATATTAAAATTGTAGAAAATTTTAATATTCCTTACTCATAACTTACTATAATTCCGTACCGTCACCTATCACGTTTGATTTAGTATGTTCTACGGTGAAATTATTATAACTATTCGTAAACGATTATTTATGCAATTTAATTGTCCGAAAAATATACTCCATATAAACTTAGATATTATTATGCTAATTTTTAAATTTTAAAATTACACGAAAATTAATACAATTATCGATCAAAGCAATTTCTGGATCGTCTAAGTGGTGACATCGGTATGTATATATATATATATATATATATATATATATAATATTTATATATGTATATAGGTATCTGTTAAAAATATATATATTTAAATTTGTGCCCATAACAACATA